CTGCAAGACCGTTTCAGGCTGGACATAAGGAAGAATTTCTTTACTGTCCGAGCCCCCAAGGTCTGGAACAGCCTGCCATCGGAGGTGGTTCAAGCACCTACATTGAACACCTTCAAGAGCAAATTGGATGCTTATCTTGCTGGGATCCTATGACTCCAGCTGACCTCCTGGGGGGCGGGATTCAATGATCTTCCGAGGTCCCTTCCAGCCCTAATGTCTATGAAATCTATGAAAGCAGCTCTATGATTCTTAGTTTCAGTTCTCAAAATGTGGATTTGCATCTCCAGAGATAACATGCTTGTTAACAGCAGTATAGGGAGATGTGAGATAGCAGACCTGATTACAGACCCATCAGCATTCTTGACTGTGTACACAGAAGTGCAGAGACAAGCCCTTTCGTGTCTCTAAAAGTGCAAAGTTTCAAGAAGTTAAATGAATAGAGAATATCAAACAACAAGAGTGTACTTTTTGCAGAAAACAATGATTAAATCAAGGCTTCCTGCCCAGTGATTTAAATCAAATTTACCCTGCAATTATCACTGACAATATGTATGCTATAGAAGATAACAAAATGATTTATTATAAAAATGACATCAAACATAAGGAATCAGTAACCAGATGAGGAGATAGACAGAGATAAGGAACAAAGAAATAAAACTAAAAAAAATACCAGAACAATAATCTGATTTTATCCTGCATCTCAAATATAAGAATTCAACTTCTACTCAGCCCATAGCTAAAAGACACTAGTTTTTCTAGGCACAGAAACATAGTGAAGACTAAGACTTACTCTCCTGGCAAGGCTTAAATATAATTTAATTTCTTACTTGGCTCTTTCCACATTATCCACTGGGTTCTTGAGGAGCCCACACAACATAATACTCTGCCCCTGCCAAGGTGCACGCTTACCAGACTAAAAGTCTTTCAGGATCTAATAATGATCAGGAGAATATTTGTATCCTTTCAAACATATCCCAAACACCCCTGACAGAGGTTAAAATAAAGGTACAATGGGATCTCATGCGTGATCCCAACAACCACACTTCCTGCCATGCCATGCATGCTGGAGGCACGGTTGCGGGGAATCATGTAGCATATCCCATCATGCCATGTTGCCAGTGCAGGCCGAGCCCAGGATCACGATCCCAGGTTTCCCTTTCACTGGAAAGTAGTAACCTTGGCTCCCTATGCTCCTTCAACTCTGAGCACCCACCAGCTGACAGGCACACCCAGCTAGTGGAACACATCATGCACTCCAGCAGCTGGGAGTCCTGATGGGTGCTCCCAGCCTTTGTAGCATAATGCAGTCTTGAAGGCTGGGAGCACTGGTCACAAACATATGATAGGAACCAGCCACACATTACTACACATATTTTGTGTAATAACTTTGTGGCTTATTCTTCCTTTCATCACACCAATCATTGATTTAATGGAGTGGCCAAGGCACTACTTAAGATATGATTAACTAGTTAATCACGTCTTAAGTGTTAGAAAGGTCTGTCAGGGACAAAGATTCTGTGTCTCACTTAATTTCCCCACTGGAAGAATGTCCTTCCTTGAACAGTCTCAGCAGGTGCTAATTCTTATGGGTCTCCTCTTCTAAAATACAAATTCATGATTGTCTGGAAAGGCCTGGCTCAAGTGCCTCAGCCACATCTGCAATGACCTGTTTGATGAGTAAACAAGCTCCTGTCACAGCATTAGGAGTGACACTGGAGAATTATTTCATATTATGCAATCTTGGCCTTATAAAATGTATTTCCTACAATTTAACATCAATACCACAATGCATAAATATAAGAATGATACAGCTTAATTCCACCTGTCTGTTGAGACCAAACAAGCCATATCAGCACAACAAACTCAAGCAAACATGCATGGCATCCCATGAACCCATTAAAACATTATCGGTTCAGGACAGATATTGTAACAGGTATCCTCCTTTGTACACTCCCCTTGTGGGCACTGATATAACAGAAGCCCCTTCTTGCCTGTGCACCCCCCCACCCTTTTTGTGCATTTCTTTTTCCTTCTAGGTATTGGCACAGACCTCACACACTCATTGCATGCGTGTGGCAAGGCTTGGAGCAAGCCAGAAAGCTGAAGTGGCTTTCTGTAGGAGAAACCTACAAACTACATCTACATATCAATTGAGCTAAGTGTTACTAAAGATGACAAAGAAACAAAAATATCCACTTCAAAGCAAAGTCTGTAAGAGACAAAAAAAGCCAAGGTGCATTGAAAGCATGACTGTAAATATATCCCAGTGAACACATTCCCTCTTTAATTAAAACCTATTTCCCAAAGCAAACTTCCCATAGCTGTCTAAAGTTTTATGTTAAATCAGTCTACATGATTGCATCTAACCTAACTCACTTACTGTCCCCAGTGGCCTCTGATCCTCACTATCTCACAATGCATTTTATATTTCATCTGTCTCATCTTTGCCCTGGCATTCTGTATTTTGTGTTTTATACCTTTTAACAAATGCATTCTTTAGAGTAAACCATACCTTGTATTACTAAAGTTATTATTATAAGAATACATTGCAATTGTAATCACTGGAATTATATTGCTGTATTGGGCTGGTCCCCTGAGTGAATGGAGTATGTAGGAGTCAGTAAATAATTGAATGACAAAGCAAGAGCCTCTGGCTGTTAATTAACAATAGCCTAGCCAGAGGAACTTACCATTACAAAACTCTACTCTAAAAGCCATTTTAAGCTAGTTGAGCCACCTGGAACCTGAAACCACATAGCCATTGAGTCAATCAATTCAAGGGTGGACATCAGAAACTGCACTGCACCATCGGGTGGAACCTTCAGTGACTGTGACTGACAGCTGTCATGTACTACTCAAGACTCGCGGCACAGCGACCTCCGGACGGGGCAGCCAAGATGATGCTAGGGGATCACACACGTCTGCCAGAAAGGATAAACACAGCGAAGCGTGTTTATCCCTTTCTGGCAGACGTGTGTGATCCCCTCAGTTGCACCCTCTCATCTAGCACCCTACCTACTGAGAAAGAAGGATAAGCAGGCAACCTCCTTCTGGCAACCCCTCATAACTCAAAGTTTGCACTGATGATTTTATCACCATATTGTAGACTCCTAACAGTTTCTCAGTTTCTCTAGAGAATACTTTTTCTCCCTTTTATTTACCAACTAAAATCTAAAGGAAAAACCACCACTTGCATTAAAAACAGGGCCAGCCCAACTATGCTTTACAAACAGAAAAGGGAATATCGGTGTGAAAATTTAAAGTAAAACTGGGAAAGAACTAAAAATATGCATTTCTGTGACAAGTTTAACAAGCGCAGAAAAAAAACAAGCTTATTTTCCAGTTTCTCTTCCAAATTTAAATGACGGGTGTTTAAATATGGTATATGTTTTCCACATGTAAATCAAAATACCTCCAAACAACCTCCGTATTTGTATTGTGACAAATCGAAAATGAAGCCAATAAGTGGACCAACAATCTAATATGCAATTGAGGACAAAAATGGAAGGGAAGAATTTAGACAAATATGCAAGTCAGCCAAGATGCAACTCTGAAGAAAGCTATTTTATGGGAAAGCATCAACTTTTGAAAGAATTGCTTAGACTTGTAAGCAACCTGATGCAAAACAAACCTTTTGCCCCTTCTCAAAAGTTATATTTTACTAGGGAAGATTTTGTTGTTTTTTTTTTAAATTAGAAACACCACATTAAAAATAAACATGGCTCTCACTTCAACAAACATCTATAATGCTTTCAGAACTGCATTACCTAGCAGTATTTAAGCATGCCAATGTCATTTTTTCACCGACTCATTTTAGGGAAAAAAGGGGAGTCATGGGGGAGCTAAAAAATAAAGCCAGTCCAGTGATGCCAACTGTAATCAAATCAAGTAATGCATGAACTCGCCTTTTCAATTAACTCACTACAATTCTGTTCTCACTCCTGCATCAATTCCCAAAATAACAGAATGAAAGTCTGTGCACGTTATGGGAAAACACATCTAAATGTCTTAAATAAGTGTCTACTTCAATACTTTCATCAGACCAAAGTAACTTAAGATCCCAGTAACAGTATGAAAGTGCACCTCTATCATCTGCACAATGTGAGAAATATGTTCCTTAATGAAACTGAGCATATTCCTATTCCCTTTTGTTGCAACAAACCTGCCACTTACATTTTAAAATACGAAGGCAAAGTGCTGCTGAAGAATCCATGCAACAGCAAGTCTGGTGTTGTTTATTAGATACCATTCAAATGAGATGAGGAACTTGCTGACTAGTTCACAGAACAAGCCTTGGCAAATGAGGAAGGAAGAAATACAGAAGAAAAAAACCACAACACTTACAAAAGCAATAAAATCTTAGAGCAACTGAAGATTTTGAAATAACATAAACAGCTTGATTCTATTCTACACGTAGCCTGCTGGGTCCAGTGCCTTATGTTAGAATACGTAGTTAAGAATTTTAACTTATTTTCTGAATTTTCCATGCTTACATGGAAAATGTAACCCTGGCATACTAATGTGACTACAGATTTTTGTTCAGTAAATACCATCTTAGGTTTTATCAACATAGTTACATATACATTAAGGCACTGCAAAGCTCTGATGAAAACAAAACCAAAACATTTTAGGTATTATTTGAATATGATCAAACACTACAGTGGGAGACTCCTAAGCCTGTCTTAAGGGGGAGGAGAGTGCAGAAAATAAAACTCAGCTCCAACCTACAAATGAAACTCTAGAAAGAAGATAACCATTTCCTCATCATACCAACTAATGACTAGTAATTCATAGCAACTACAACTGATTATATTATAATAATGAGAAATACCCTTACTGCATAAGTATGAGCTGTTAAACTGTTTTGTTACTTTCCCCAATACAGTACTGTATAGTACAGTAAACTCTGCTAATTTGCACCAACTGGGAGGAGACTCACTATGAAGTTCTTGCTAACACACAATATTTGGCTCACAAAGAAAGGCAAACCATTATCATACATCACATATCTGCCTTGCTCTAATAACTGTTTTTTCTGAATTAAAAACAATTATATTAGTATCTGTTAAACATGTTTACTTGCCTTTGGCAAGCAAGATTATGCTGGCATGAGAGAATTTCACCTAGATTCCTGGGGAATTTAAGCTTTCAACCCAGCTGCTCAAATGGCGGTGTGTGCTGTGAAGGATGCCTGAAGTGAGGAGCCTTCTTTTCAAGCTTCTGTGGTCATCTTAGGGCTGGATGAATCAATAATCAATCTTCCTTGCTCTCCAGTACATAATGGCTCCCCCCGTGACTAACAAATGGGCCAGTAGACAAGAGCACCATGAACAGATATCCAAGCAGAGCTGGGTTAGGATTAACTAGGGAAGTGCCCCTCCTGTAGGAGTTCCTCAAGCCCAGACTGCAATCTAGTGTCAGTTCCAGATGATCTTCAGCAGCCAGGAAGGCCTATCTGATGCACGCAAGGAACATGTGCATGAGCCCACATGAAGCTGTGAGCCCTGGCTGTTATCAGAGAGGGTCACTAAGACTGCATCAACAGATTATGAGGGGAAAAAAGTGAAAGCAAGGATGAGGGCAGGAGTGGTGAAGTTAATAAATAGCAAGCGGTCCAAGAGCGGACACTGAGCAGAGCACACCAGTCAGCGCCCCGTGGCCCTCCAAAGAGTTCAAGGAGCCAGTAGGCACTGCCCAGTGAAACTCAGCCAAGCAGCCAGGAAGGACTTTTAGCACATCAGGGCAAAACACGGGCCCGGGTGCCCATCAAGGAAGCTATAAGCCCCCTTTAATACTTGGGGGCCACTAGTGATATGTTACTGAGTACTTGGGACAAATAATAATGAAAACAGGAACAGGAGCAGAGGCCAAAGGGCAGGAACTAGCATGCCAAGGAAGGACACCAAGCGGACTAAGCACACCCAACAGCACCCACGGGCCCCACAATGAGTCCAAGGAGCTGGTGGACACTGCCCAGTGAAACTCTGCCAAGGAGGCAGGAAGGAAGAAGAAAAAAGAAACAGTCCTTGGGATGTGACCAATTTCCGTTG